AGATGTCAACTCAAAAAAAAAAAAAAAAAAAGATGGAGAGATGGTCATCAAAACTCGTGCCCAGACACCTGCAGCCCTCCACACTTAGCTCATGGTTTGCTTAATTGTGATTGTAAAAGTATACACAGCTTCTTGTCAAAGGCAACCACATGCCCTCTCTTAAGGCGCCCATGCTCTCTCGCGTGTGTCTTTTTTCTTTCTGAAACATACTTTCTTAGACTATGCTTTGGACTCACTCTGAAATTCTTTTCTGTGGCAAAGTCCAAGAACCCACGGAGGAACACACCATACCCCACCGGCATCAGCAACACTGTATAGCCTGAACTGTGAGATGCAGCCAAAGCTGTTCTCAAAGGAACATGTGTAGCCTCCAGATGCATTTCTGAGAAAATTAGAAAGATCCCAGACAAATAGCCAGTAAGCTTGAGATGGAGAAAGAATGAGCAGAAGGGTCCTTCGGAGATGTGAGTTCAGCTTCACAGATGGGGAAACTGAGACCAAGAAAAGTTAAGTCACCTGCCTAAGGTCACAGAGCAAAGCAGTTCACGGCAGAGCTGGAATTCAGAACTGGGTTTGGTTCCTCCCAAGCCATTGTCCAAAGCCCGTAAAGACTTCTGGCATTACTCACTATTGAACTTGGCTTTATTTCAAAATTATTTCATTAAAAAAAAAAAAAAAAAGAACAACCCACCATCAATTCAAGACAAGAGGGTTTTTTTTTGGTTTTATTTTGTTATTCTTTTCCACGAATTTCCTGGTTGTTCAAGTTTGTCACAAATAGTACCTCTTGTTCAAAGAGCTGTCCCCACCTTCCGGGACGGTGTCCTGCAGCCTTGACCCTTGTATCCTGGGTTGGGGGAGGGGGTGCAGCTAGAGAGAGTCTGAGAGCCCCCCCAAACCAGAAAACAAGGGGAGAGAAAACCGGGCATCAGAAGCAGGGCCGGAAGGGGGTGGGCAGGAAACCACTGCCAGGAAGCCCGTTTGCAATCGTGACGCCGCCCCTTCCCCTGCCAGGCTGGCTCGGCCCTCTACCAGGAACCCCGTGGAGGTGGAGACTTCTCCTGGGTGGGGCCTCTGCCCCCAGTCTGGGCAGGTATAAGGCGGCCACCTCAGGCCCAGAGGACATAGGAAGAAAAGCAAAGAGCCGCCATGTCCTCTTGGAGGGGAGCGTGCCAGAGGTAGGTGCCCGCCCCGCCCATCCTGTCCCAGCCTGGACACCCCCCAGGCCAGGTGAGAGACCCGGATATTCCCCCGGAGCCCCTGTAGTCACCGGGGCCAGATCCAGGCCCGCAGGCCGGAAGAGACGGCCCTCACCCCGGCCGGACAGACTGGCCCACGCACACCTGCCTCAGTGGGCCACGGGCCAGGCAGAGAGTGGGAGGTGGACTTTGTCTGTGGCTGGGGCCACGGTGACCAGGGCTGTCCGGGTGACATCTGGATCAAGAAGCCATGGGGGAAGAGGGGGATGCCCTCTCCCACGGTTATGGGGCCGATCGGAAACCAGCCTTCCCAAGGCCAGATGCCTGCTCCCACGCCTGTCCAAAGCAGGACACACTTTCACGCTCAGGGTCTGTAGGTGTTTGCACCTGGAGCTCTGTGTTACACCCCAGTGCTTGGAGGAAGACGGGGCAGGACACAGATAACCTAACCCTGTTTGTTCGGGGCTGGACAGAACAGAAAGAGGAAGAGCCCAGAGCAAGGAGTGAGAGGTCTTCTTGCAAAGGGCCGAGAAGGTTTCATGGAAATCGGGGTATTGGAGCTGGGGCATCGCAGGATGTGTTGGAGTTCACTGACCCTGCCTTCAAAACACAGAGCCAGGGCCGGGCTCGGTGGCTCGGCCTGTCATCCCAGCACTTTGGGAGGCCGAGGCAAGTGGATTGCCTGAGCCCATGGGTTCGAGACCGGCCCGGGCAACTTGGCAAGTACCCGTCTCTACAAGAAATCAAGGATTAGCCGAGCGTGGTAGCGTGCACCTGTAGTTCTAGTTGGAAGGCTGAGGCGGAAGGATCGCCAGAGCCCAGCAGGTCGAGGCTGCGGTGGCTGTGAGTGTGCCCCAGCACTCCAGCCTGGGCGACGGAGTGAGACTCCAACTCAAAAAAAAAAAAAAACAAACAGAAAAAAAAGAAACTGACTTTGAAAACAAGCCAGCTCAGAAGAAACTAGCAAGCTGGACGGCGAGTAATTCATACTTTCTGGGGGCCGGGCTGGTCATGGGAAGTGTATTCCATAGGAGTTACGTTCAGAAACAACTTCCATCAATCGGAACGGGGGCCACTTCCGGCAGCTGTAGGAGGAAGCCAGGAGGGGCGGAGGAAGTGACCACACGAGTGACCAGTGAGGTGGCACAGGCCAGGGTGGTGGCTGGGGACTGGGAAGAAGTGGGCAGATTCTGGGCGTAGTTTATTTATCTATTTATTCTATTTTTGAGTCAGGGTCTCACTGTGTCACCCAGGCCGGGCTCCCTGCAGCCTCGACCTCCTGGGCTCAGGCCACCCTCCGGCCTCAGCCTCCCAAGTAGCTGGGACGACGCCCGCACGCCCCTCCGCCTGGCTCATTTTGTGATTTTGTGTCAAGACGGTGGGGGGGGGGGTCTCGTTCCGTCGCCCAGGCTGGTCTCAAACC